AATATTTCCCACATCAAGCCTGAAAGGAGAAAGAAGCATGAGAAGTAGGAGATGAAGCTACATAACTCATGAAGAGGCTGTTTGGTATACTGGTCTTGGGGCTTAAACTCAGGATCTGGGTGCTGTCTCTGAGCTTTTAACCATTCAAGGCTAATCCTTTACCACTTGAGCCACAGTTCCATTTCTGGCTTTTTGGTGGTTAATTGAAGATAAGAGTTTCACACTTTTCTAGTTGGGCTGTCTTTGAACCTCCAGCCTCAGATCTCAGGCTCCTGAGTGGCTAGGATTACAGGAGGGAGCTGCCATGCTCAGCTTGAATCCTCCGTTAAATTAAGACTTAAGGGAGCCATATGATAAGAGCTGGTAGAAGGCTACACTTGACTGGGTGCTGGGAAATAGGGTGAAGAAATTGATACTTGACCTGCACAGTTGAGCCACTTACAAAAATGAACCTTCATGACTTTAAGAACTGAGCTGAGCTGGGCGCTGGTGGCTCATGCCTGTAATCCTAGCTACTCAGGAGGCTGAAATCTGAGGATCTCAGTTCAAAGCCAACCCACGCAGGAAAGCCTGTGAGACTTATCTTCAAACAGCCACCAGAAAACCCGAAGTGGCACTGTGGCTTACATGATAGAACACTAACCTTGAGCTAAAGAGCTGAGAGACAGCACCCAGGCCCAGAGTTGAAGCCCCACGACCAACCAAAAAGAAACAAAAAACACTGAAAGTAAAGCCCATTAGTGAACTGGGTGGCCAGAATAACATGTCACACGGAGTGGCCTGACCAGGGATAAGGATGCCTGGTGGCCAGTCTCTGCCTTAGCCAACTTGCCCAGCTATGTTTTGAATGGTTGTTCATCTGAAGGCTAATATCATAGGATTTGCGCTGTCTTTATTATTTTTCATAAACTCATCCAAAACCTTGTATTTCCTGCCTATCAGTGGAGAGTAATTGGGCAGTTCAGCCGGTGCACCAGCCCCTGCCTGCATACATGTAGTGCACAGAAGACCTATTCTAACTTGATCACACACAAAGACTAAGTGCTCAAAGATTTTGAATAGGCAGTTCACAGAAGATCTAAGAATTTCCAATGAATACCTATGAATGATGGTCACTCAGCAGAAACGCATAAGTAAAAGGCGGTTCAGTAGAGTAATTATATAAATTCTGGATCCAACTGACTTGAGTTTTGCCATCATTAGCCATGTGACTTTCAGAGAGTTATTTAACCTATTTCCGGTTCTATAAAACAAATAATAGGACTTATATCAAATTAGTGTCATTTTACTATTTCCTTAGCTAAGGTACTTTGTACAACACCTACCACATAGGAAGTGCTCTTAAGTTCTTATACTTGGTAGTGACCTGTGAGGAGGTGGTGGTGATGATGATGTCATAGTGGTGATGTAGTATGGTGGTGGAAATGGTAGTGATGGTGATGGTAGTGATGGTGGTGGTGGTAGGAGTAGCAATGGTGATATGGTGATACTGATAATGATAGGTAGCGGTGGTGGTAGTGGTAATGAAAACAGTGGCAGTACCAGATTGTTCTCCCAGTGATTGCTTTAGTTTACATTTACCAGAGGTTTCTGAGTGTTCTCTTCCCTTACATTTTTCTAATAAATAGTATTAGACTTTGTTTGCCAAATCCCTGGCTAAATGCAGCCTCTTTTTAGAAGCTAGTTGTCTGCTAGGCCTTCTTCCCTGTGAAAGTACTTATTCAAATCCTTAGCTCAGGGGCTGAGAATGTGGCTTAGTGGTAGAGTGCTTGCTCAGCATGCATGAAATCCTGGGTTTGATTCCTCAGTACCACATAAACAAAACAAGCCAGAAGTGGTGCTGTGGCTCAAGTGGTAGAGTGCTAGCCTTGAGCAAAACGAAGCTCAAGGACAGTGTCCAGGCCCTGAGTTTAAGCCCCAGGACTGGCCAAAAAAAAAAAAAAAGATTAAAAAACAGGGCTGGGAAGGTGGATCAGTGGTAGAATGCTTGCCCTGCATACATGAGGTCCAGGGTTCATTCCTCAGCACCACATAAGTACAAAAAGCTGGAAGTGGTGCTGTGGCTCAAGTGGTGAGAGAGTGCTATTCTTGAAGAGCTGAGGGTCAGCACCCAGGCCCAGAGTTCAGGCCCCATGACAAACAAAACAAAAACAAATCCTCAGCTCATTCCTTTGTCAGCCTTTTGTCCTTATTGATTTTTTTTTTTGGTCCGGTCGTGGGGCCTGAACTCTGGGCCTGGGCGCTGTCCCTCAGCTCTTCAGCTCAAGGCTAGCACTCTACCACTAGAGCCAGAGCGCCACTTCTGACTTTTTTCTTTTTTTGCTTATGTGGTGCTGAGGAATCGAACCCAGGGCCTCATGCATGCAAGGCAAGCGCTCTGCCAGCCCCTTATTGATTTTTAAACATTGGTTTCTCATTCATCCCATTATTCATCTCATTATTGAGAGTCTTTTATGTAATAGATACTGTCTAGGGTACAGGAGCAGGAATACAATGGAAAGTCTTGTTTTATGGAACTTAGGTTCTGGCTGGAGAGAGGCAACCAGAGAGGCTAATATGCTTTAGCCAGCAAGAAGAAAATTAAGGACAGATAAGTCAGCATAGCTAATATACAATGCTGAATGGTTTTTCTGTACCAGCCACTATTTCTCTGTATTGACATTTTCTTACAATTTATTCTAATACTATCGATTGAAAACTTCATCCCTTTGTAGTTATGGAAACAGCTACATGGAGAGGTTAAATAATACTCAGTCACACTGCTGGGAAGTAAAGAAACCAGGATCAGGCCTGGTCCTAGTTAACCCCTGCAGTCCTGGCCAGGGTGTGTTGGTGCTTCTACACGAACTAGAGATAAAACATATTGGAGAGTTTTATTATCTGGATACTGATACTTGTTTCTCTGTGTTATAAATATTTTGTCTCATTGTGTAGGTGAAGAAGATGGTCTTTGGTGGTAACTGGAGATTAAAACTCAAGTCTTCACATTGCTACCAAGCACTCTACCCAGACCTTTTTGCTTTAGTTTATTTTTCAGATGGATTATTACTATTATTATTATTATGCCACTCCTGGGGATTGAACTCAAGGGTCGCAGCAGTCCTTGAGCTTTTGTACTCAAAGCTAGTACTCTACTACTTGAGCTGCAGCTCTACTTTTGACTTCTTGGTAGTTAATTGGAGATAGGAGTCTTATAGGCTTTCCTATGAGACTGGGCTGGCTTGGCTTGGAACCATGATCTTCAGATCAGCCTACTGTGTATCTAGGATTATAGGAGTGAGCCACTTTTAAAAGGTTCTAAAACACGTATCTGCTTCTGAGAACACTTATCCTCAGGATCAGAATTTCTGAATTGTTCATTGGAGGAGATATTTTCATCGAGTTGGATAGGCATTTGTCTCCATTCCAGCCACCGATTCTTTCTTTGTGTCCTGAAAGAAAGTATCTTGGGAATTGGAAACTATTGATTGTCAACTGGTTGGTGATACCATACAACAGTGATGGTCTGGGTGCTAGTCATGGTTTCTAGGAAAATATTGCAACAGTTCAAGAGTGGGCAGGATTCCCTGGTATGTGAACCAGGTAGTATGCACCTAACCCAAGGTTAAACACCAAGGAGATGTTCACATAATACTTGTTAGCTTAAAATAGTCTTCATCAGCTGGGAGCTCATGGCTCACACCTATAATCTTAGCTACTCAGGAGGCTGAGGTTGAAGATCACAGTTCGAAGCTAGCCCAGCTGGATAGTACATGAGACCCTATAATCAGTTACAAATGAAACCCACAAGTGGAGCTGTGGCTCAATGTAGTGGAGTGTTAACTTTGAGCAAAAAAGCTCAGAGACAGCACATAGACTCTGAGTTCAAGCCTTTCAACTGACCAAAATGCCATTGCTCCATATCAGAGGAAGTGCAAAACCATCATTGTCCCCAGTGTGGTTTTACCTGGCCGTGGCTGGTGTTTGTTCAGGTCCAGTCAGATATTGATGGGTATCCTCAGCCACCAGATGATTTTGGATGCCAGCATCACGACTATACAAATTTGATTCTTTGAAAATAAACAGCTCATTTTTGGGTGAGAATGCATTATTTTTAGACTACCAGGGTAATACTTGGCAAAGTGCATCTCCAGCAACAAGTACTGCTTTCTACTTTAGAACTAGGAGCAGGGAAATATGAATCTATAGCTCAAGTGCTTTGATTCTTTTTTCCCCTCTCTTTATTAGCGCTCATTACTGTGAGCCTTATTAGCATACTTTACTATATGGCATACTACTTTCTCCTGATCGCCTGCCCTCTTCTTTTAGTACAGTTTCTCAAACAGTTTCATTGTTCTATTTTCATAAATTCAGACAAACTACTTAAACCATGTTCATCTTCATTTGCCTCCCTGGTTAACCCAACCCCTTTCCAGTGGCCCCTCCGCTGTTTAACTTGACTGCCATTTTTTTGTTTGAAGCTTGTGTGAAATGCATCAAAGAGTTTCACCATAGTATTTTGGGTGTGCACATACTGTGTTTTTCGTTTGTTTGTTTGTTTATGTTACTGGGCTTGAATTTATGCCCTGGGTATTGTCCCTGAGCAGTTTTTGCTCAAGGCTAGCTCTACCACTTTTTGCCATAGTGCCATTTCCAGTTTTGTGGTGATTAATTGGAGTCTCTGAGGCTTTCGTGCAGTTTTGAACAGCAATCCTTAGATCTTAGCCTCCTGATAGGATTACAGGCGTGAGCCACCAGGACCTGGCCTATACTGTGTTGTGCAAGTGCTTGTTTCTTCAACAGTTTCTCTCTCTATGGAGCTCGAGTTTCCTATCTTGACCTTACAGAGGATGTAAGTCATCTGTCCATTTTAAACTTAATAGGGTAATAGTTCAGCCCATGAATAACTAATAGGAAGAAGAATCCCTTGATAGGCTCTGTCGAGAACTCACATAAGCTGGGACACTGCAAAACAGCCATTCTGTTGCTTCCATCGGCCAAGCCTTATTTCCCTCTCATAGGATGCAGCAGGTAGGAAGTTCAGGGACTTCCTGTAGTCGTGCAGGTACCTGGGCTCCATCATCTCGCAGAGCCTTACCTCAACTGGAGGAGGCAGGAGCTGGCACGGGAGGTGAAGACAGCAAAAAGGAAGTATCTGAGTGGCTCTCAAATACTTAAACTCCAGAGGAGCATGTCACTGCTCGGTGTCCCTGTCTGGAAGCCTCGGGGAACAGCCCTTATCACGTTGGGGGCCCTCCAGGGATAATTACGGTAACCACACATCTTGTGTGTATATATTGTTTGTGTGTGGATACTGGGACTTGAACTCAGAGCCTAGAACTCTCACTTGGCTTGAACCACAGCTCCACTTCCAGCTTTTTTTCTTGTTAAGTAGAAATAAGGGTCTCACATACTTTTCTGCCAGTCTGGCTTTGGAATCCAATCCTCTTACCTCAGCCTGCTGAAGTAGATAGGACTTAACAGGCCATAGGTGCTTTTTTTCTAAGTGATTAAGTTTACACCAGTCAGTTTTATCTACAAAGACTTTGAATCCCCCACGTTGGTGAATTTTACCCACCTTGTATTTCTTACAGAAGTCCTGGAGGGGACTTTGGAGCCAAAAAGAAAAAGAAGAAGCAGAAGAGAAAAAAGGAGAAGCCGAGTTCTGGAGGCACCAAGTCTGACTCTGCGTCGGATTCCCAGGAGATTAAAATTCATCAGCCTTCAAAAGTGAGAGCCGCTTTCCTCCCCCTGGGTGGTTTCTGATGCAGGCCAGAGGGGTTTGGGCAGCTTAGCGCCCCGTTGAGCTGATGGTGTAGTCAGGGTTTTGTTGTGACTGCGTGTTGAATGAGCTAGTAACTGGAGGTAGGTACTTATTAACATGGGAGCTTTCGTGTGTTTGTGAACACCAGTGTCCCTCCTGCCTGTCAGGGGCCATTGAGGTACTTAGACTAGTTGTCTAGTTGTAGAAGATACCTCACTGTGAGCTTTTGTTAGGTTTTGTTTTTTTGCTTTTGTTTTTTTTTTCTAAAGTTACACTGAATATTTGATGACTTGTAGTTCAGAAGATATTCACATTTTAATTTTTCTGGGTGTCTGTCTAATTACCTGCATAGCACCACACCATCTGGCAGCAGATTTCAGCGGGAGCAGCCATGGGTAAGTCTTACAATGACTTTAAATCAGACCCGTCCGCCAGGCCATTCCTCCCTGTGTTGCCAAGGGCGGGGGATGTCAGTCTCCTAGTGTTAACCTTTTAAGAAACATCCATTTTAAAGTCAACCAGATGTTATCCAGCAGGGCCCCTAGTTGGCAGATAGCCTGCTGAGCTGGGGTTTGGTGAGGCCTGGTAGGCAGATGTTCAGTGGAGCAGGTGGCAGCCACCTCGACCCTCATCCTATCCTACCCCCCTTGCCCACGCAGGCTGAGAACACAGCCCTGTGCACAAGGCTCCTGGTAAACACAAAACCCCCTTGGTGTAGGAAGGCAGAATGAAAGGGGGAAGAATTAGAAGTGTAAGGCAATGGAGATGATTCTGGTGGTTGTAGTTCCAAGTAGGCTTTCCTGGGTAGTAGGTGGTAGAAATGGCCCCAAGACCTTGAACTTGTCTCTGACTTCATTGCTCACATGCTATGCATGGCCCATTTCCTTATCTGTAAATCCCATTTCCTTTCCCCCAGCTCACAGGGCTCTCCTGAGATTAGCATGACATCATTTTCATTAAGAGAATATTATATTGTAAAAGCAAATGTGTGCCAGGTATTAATCACTATGCAGGTTTGGGGATTTCAGGGTTTTGGGCCAGTACTGAGATTTGTATTCAGAGCCTTGATACCTGACAAAGGCATTTGATCAGGAGATCATGTTCCTACAGTACTTCTTGCGGCAGTTATTTTCTGGAGAGAGATTTGTGTGTTGGGGCTAGGCCAGCTTCTGACTGTGGTAGTCCTCTTACTTGTATGTCCTTTGTTTGAAGTTTGGACCACAGGTGCACACCACACCTGTTCCTTTGATGAAGATGGGGTCTCACTAAATCTTTCCTTCCTCTCTGGGCTGGCCTCAAACTGAGATCCTCCAGATCTCTGCCTTCCAAGGGCAAATATTTTTTCTTGTCCAGAGTTCACATATTATGTCACATAAAGTAGGTCTCACGGGTAGTTTGTCCTTACCTGCTTTACATGAAAGGCCAGCAATCACTGAGAAAGAAGAAAATCACTGTTCAGATTGACTTTGTGGGAGAGAAGGAAGTGGAGTCTTCCTATTTGTTCAGCTTGGTCTCAGGTGTTTTATCCATGAGATTCCAGGGTAACTCACAAGAGGATTACTCCCCCCCCCCACAAGCTTGCAAAGATTCCCACATTCCAAACTGCTTTGTCCAGTCAGAGTGGCATCGCCTACCTGTGGGCATCTCCCTGCTTGCTCCATCACAGCTTCACCCTTCCCTCTATGGCTAGTGGCTCTTGGTTTTGCCTACCCTGGCCCTAGTAAGAAAAGAGATCCAACCAAGGTACCAGGAATCAAAGTGAACCTTCTACAGTAGACAGTTGCTTTGTTCATTTCCTTATTAGAATTAGTACCAAGTATGCAGGTTTTGGGGTTTTGTTGTTTGGTGTTTTGTGTTTTTTTTTTTTTTTTGTCAGTCATAGGGCTTGAACTCAGGGCCTGGGCACTATCCCTGAGCTTTTGTGCTCAAGGCTAGTACTCTGCCACTTTGAGCCACAGAGCCACTTCTGGTTTTCTAGGGGTTAATTGCAGATAAGAGTCTCACACAGATTTTCCTGCTTGGGCTTGCTTTGAACGATGATCCTTAGATCTCAGCCTCCTGAGTAGCTAGGATTACAGGTGTGAGCCACCAGCACCCCTCAATTTATAGTGTTTTTTTGGAGACTTTTCATCATTGTAATTTTTTTAAATCTAGGGTTCCCCCCCGCCCATAAACTTACGCCAACTCTAGATAACACCATAATTTACAGTGGACTACAGTTAGACAATAGTCTGTTCTCAGGACAAAAATAAAAAAATTGGTCTGGATTCTTTGCCTCGTGTGTGTGTGTGTGTGTGTGTGTGTGTGTGTGTGCGCGCGCGTGCGCGCGTGCATTCGTGTGTGCGTGTGCGCGCGTGTGCGCTGAGATTGAACCAGGGCCTTATGTTCTACAGGGCATGTGCTATACCACTGAGCTACACTCCAGCCCCTTACCAGACTTTTGAGCTTTTGAGTTAGAGGACATGGACATTTTCCTTGAGCATTAAATTGGGAACATAAGAGGTGAGAAGGGCCTTATTGATGTTTCACATCAACAAGGAGCAATATAGGAGACTCTCACATATGAACATAATATTCCAACATGAGAACATAGTGATAGCGACATATAATGGAGGCTAGTAAACATCTCATCTTTTCTCCCCTGCCAGAACTACTGAGGAAGACCAATGGATAAATTTAAGGGTTTGTCATAGTACTGTTGGCGTAGCTCAGTGGTGAGAGCTATTGCCTAGCATGCATGAAGCCCTGGGTTTGATCCCTAGCACTGCCAATAATAATAATAACATTATTCTTATTACAATAATTTGTCAGAGCTGAGTTTTCCTTACTACTTTGCCACTGTGGGTTTGAAAATTGTGCTTCCATAAATCTCCTTTCTGAAAGCATTTGAATAGTGAGTACTAGAATATTAATAAACGTTTGATAAATAATTATTTCATGTAGCGTGCTGGCCACACTATTTAGGTAGGATGGAAACCACTCCTCGTAGGGTTGGGATAGCCTTAGCTCCTTCAAGATGCTAATTCATGTTTGCTGCTAATTCATGTTTGGTTTTGACATATCAGTCATAGGAGATTTAACTACCCAGAAAGGAAAGTACCCTGACAAAACCAGTGTGGGCCTTGTAGATACACTTTTGGAAGCCTGGGTTCTAGTGTGTTTTTTCTTTCCTTCAGTACTATTGTTGTTTGAGCTCAGGGTTTTGAGCTTGCTAGCTAGGTGTTATATACCATTTTAGTTTTTGAAAAAAATTTCAGATAGGATCTCACACTTTTTTTTCTTTTTTTTCTTTTTTTGTCAGTCGTGGGGCTTGAACTCAGGGTCTGGGTGCTTGTCCCTGAGCTTCTTTTGCTCAAGGAGCACTTTACCACTTTGAGCCACAGAGCTACTTCTTGTTTCTGGTAGTTAATTACAGATAGTCTCACAGACTTTCCTGCCACCTCCAGCCTTTTCTATTTATGTAGTTCTGGGGAATTGAATCCAGGGGTTCATGTGTGCTAGGCAAGCTCTCTACCACTAAACCATATCACATTCCCATCCCCTCATACTTTTTTTTTTAATATTATTGGTACTGGGACTTGAATTATATTCATGTTCTCATTGGCTCTTTTGCTCAAGCCTAGTGCTTGAGCCACAGCCCCACTTTTGTCTTTTTGCAGGTTTATTGGCTATAAGAGTCGCATGGACTTTTCTGCCTGGACTGGCTTTGAACCTCAATCCTCAGATCTATCCATGAGCACTGCTGGGTCTCACTTTTGCCTGAGCCAGCTCTGAAACACAGTCCTCCTGCTTTTACCTCTTGAACATGAGCCATCACACACAAGACCCACCTGAAGTTATGGGTCTCTTAATAGATTGTATTGCTGGAGATATGAACCAAATGGTAGAAATTGTTGTTAAGAAACTAGTTACTTAAAATGTTAGAAACTCACAGGGGATTCAAGCAAAATATTCAGGACTAGGCATGGTAAATCATGGCTGGAATGCCAACTACTTGGGATAAAAGTATAACTGCAGCTCAAGTGGTAGAGCACAAGCCTAGAGTAAAACAGCTCAGGGACAGCATCCATACCCTGAGCTCAAGCCCCAGTACCAGCCCACATGCACACACACAGGTTTGAGGTTAGCCTCAGACCCCACCTAAATCAATAAGAGCTGAGTGTGGTGGCACAAGCCTGTCATCTTAACTATCTGGGAGGCATCAGTAGGAGAATCATGGTCTAGGCCTTTACCAGGCAAACTGTGAGACCTTATCCAAAGTACATACATGAAGCAAACGAGGGCTGGAGGTATAGCTCAAGTGGTTGAGCACCTGCCTAGTAAATGTGAAGCTTTGAGCTCAAGCCCTAGTACCACCAAAAATAAAACAATAAGGACAAACAAGCCCTAAGGAGTAGTGTTTACCTACTATCCATTGGTTCATGTTCCATCTCCAGCAACAAAAATAACAAAGAACCTACAGAGGCTCGTGAGCAACAAAGCTGACTCAGGACTTTGCTAAATAGCCCTGCTCTCTACTGTGTCATGGAGGTTAGCTGTCCAGGTTACATAGCCTGGCTTTCCGAGCATGGATTTCAGACTGAAAGTCAAGTGGAAGTCCAAAGTTGCTGTTTGTAAAGCTGAGGGTCGATTGTACTTTTCCTTCTTGTCCAGGGTGTATTGACCTGAAGAGCCTCGGAGCATGCTCGTGGAAGGTCAGAACCCTAAATAAAACCTTGCAGTTATTCCACATTTGAAAAAAGTCAAAAGACTTACTACAAATGTATACTAATTCAGCAGTAAGACTTACAAAGTCAGTGATTGCTGTTTTCAGTCCTAGGCTTTCTCATTTTATGTATAGCCTCATGTTCTGTGTAGTATTTCATTATTTGAGGTGAGAGAGAGAGAGAGGGAAACTGGAGAATCTCGAAGAGATGACAGGACTATTGGCTTTGAGAAGGGAAAGTTCACATTTCACCGTATTGCCCGTTTTGTAGATTACACTACATGCTCTATGTCCAGAGGGTGGCTGGCTTCTCGTGACCCATAGACTGGGGAGCCTGCGGTGGGTGGGTACAGGTGCCCAGTCCAGCCTTGCCAGAGGGGTTGTTGGCCTCTGAGCATTAGCAGGCATCCAGGACAGAAAGGTTGGGGAAGGGCTAGGTTGAGGTCTAAGAAGAAGAGGCTGGTCAGAGTTTTTTCATTTCTTAATCATTTCCTGCCCAGCTCAGTACGAAGTTCCGATTCTTTTTCTCCTTTATTTTTATTTATTTATTTATTTTTGTTTAATGTCTGTAGTTTCCATCGCAACTGCCAACCATTAACCTGACAGCGCATAGCTGGTGGCTGCCTGGCTGCTGTGAGGGCTGATGCATGCCCTGCATGTCCCTCCTCCCCGAGGTGCCCTGGGTGGGGGCTTCCGTTTACGCCAGGTGTCCGGGTTCAAGCTACAGAGTGATGCTAACCTGTGATACAGTGTGGCACAGGCTTCCAGGAGAATGGGCTCTGTTTAGGGATTGTGCATAGTCTCTGACGCAGATCCACACGTGCCTGTGCCAGGCTCCATGGTGGTGGCAGCTTCCTGATGCCTTGTGTCTCTGTCTTGCTCTTCTAGAACCCCACCCTCCCCATGCAGAAGCTGCAGGACATCCAGAGAGCAATGGAGCTGCTGTCAGTGTACCAGGGCCCCGCCAGAAGCATTGATGAGGCCACCAGGCGCAGATACCAGTTCTGGGACACACAACCAGTGCCCAAGCTCCGTAAGCTCTCCCACTTATCTTCCAAAAGCATGAGCAAGTAAAGACTTGGCTCCATTCAACATATATAGGCTGGGTGCTGGTGGCTCACACCTGGAATCCTAGCTACTCAGGTAGCCCAGATCTAAGGATCACAATTCAGAGCCAGCCTGGACAGGAAAGCCATGAGACTCTTATATCCAGTTAACTACCAAAAAAGCCAGTGGAGCTATGAATTCAGCAGTAGAGCACTCACTGTCTTTGAGCACAAGAGCTCAAGAACAGCACTCAGGACCCGAGTTCAAACTTCAGAACTGACAATCCCTTCCTTCCCCCGCCCCCCAAAAATTAAATTACATAAAAGTAATATGGTGTGTGTGTGTGTGTTCTTTTTGATCAGTACTAGGGTTTGAACTCAAGGTCTTGCCCGTGTGTGTGTGTGTGTGTGTGTGTGTGTGTGTGTGTGTGTGTGTTGTTCTTTTTGATCAGTACTAGGGTTTGAACTCAAGGTCTTGCCCGTGTGTGTGTGTGTGTGTGTGTGTGTGTGTGTGTGTGTGTG